TAGAAAACTCACAGTTTTAATAAAAGCTGCTTCGCACCAATTTTATCCTTTAAGCCTGACCTTATGCCACTGACATTTTCGTTTTTATAATAAAATCACAAGAAATTTTAAAGAAGATGGGGACATCGACTGAAAAATTTCTCTGCATTGGTCTTACAAATTTACTGCAAACCTTTTTTGTTCTTATACTTTTTCTTATATTTAACATAATTCAGCTATTCTTTCATTTTCTTATTTAATGATGCTCTTTCAATGTCCTATAACCTATCTTTTGTCTCTATTTTTTTTCTAAAACATCTATAATATCAAAACAGATGACAGACTAGCATGGCTCAAGTGAATGATTTTAAAATGAAAATCCTAAAATCATTTTCATCATTGAGATTAGTAACATGGTGTTACACATGGGTTTTTTTCTTAAAATACTGTGTGGCATTTTTACATTTTTAACATGGCTTACAAACATTAGGATATTCAACACTTAGAATATTGCCCAGCAAACAAACATTGCATTGAAATGCTGATAGAAAGAAATGGTCTTTCTGCCTCACAGAAATGCACAAATGCCACAGTCAGCTGGTTTCTGGGAAGTTTGAGAACTTGAAATGGAGGAAAGGGATATAACACGGCCCACATGTATTATATCCTTCTGTGTGTCACCTCCATTTGCACAGAACTCCCAACTATGCAACATGAATCCAGAGCCACAACAGGAGTTCTGTGATTTACTTGTGCAAATTGAATTCCCTGTCAGACACTTGCGATTCAGCATGGATCTGTAGGAAGATCCGGAAGGAATAGAAACGATGCCATCCAATAGGAACCAGTCAAGTATTTAAGGCAGATGACACTGGAGATCCTACGATACGTAAGCACATCATCTGGCCTACTTATTCATGCAAACAATATTAAGGGATGATTCAGCTTTATACCAGAATGACCTCTTTTGTGATAGATGCACAATGAAAGGTGACTGAAGTATGCAGATTATACAGTGATTCTTAATCCCTCATCTGCAGTTTTTTGTCTGTTACCAGATTCAGGCCAAAGTTTAGAGAATTCTGAAAGGCTTGAGGGACAGAAAGAAAGGATAAAAGCTTTCAAATATTCTATCCTCTCTGTTCCATTTATGGATGCCTTCAATCAGCAAGGAACACTTGTTTTCAGCAAAATAAGATGAACCTCACAACTTTAGTGTCTTTTTCAAAAGTAATTTGTTTACTACTAATTTACCCAAAGGGTTAGTTAGCACATTAGCATATCAATGGTCAAAAAACGCTTAGGAAAATCTACATTCAGGTAACCGATCTGACCATTATAAAAGATAATGAAATTATTTTTACTGCTGTATTCGCCTGTCTGTCTGTCTGTCTGTCTGTCTGTCTGTCTGTCTGTCTGTCTGTCTGTCTGTCTG